GTTGCTGAGAGAAAAATCATAAGCATCATTTAAATTTTTGGAAGTGCCAGTTAATCAAGGTTTTGGGTTTTATTTTATTTTGTACTTCAAGTTTCTATTTAGAATACACACCAAGGCAACTAGAAAAAAAAAATCAAAACCTACAATATTTTATTCCAAACAATTTCAAAAGAATAGTGAGTTTCCCCAGACACTGAAAGTAGTATGCAGAAGCAAGGTGATTACTCAAAATATGATTTCCTTTCCCCAAGAGAAGAAATGAAAAGTTGCATTAATAGTCCCAAATGTATATATTAAACATGCTTCCATGGTCCTTTCATTTTATGAAAGTTAGATAACAGTATCCTTATAAAAATGTTCTAGGCCATAACTATAAACAGTGATGTTAACAGCAACTTCTACTCCACAAGATAAAAGAAATGCAATTCTATTTTTCTCCAACAATATTTACTGACTGCCTACTATTTACAAAGCACTGCATCAAGGCTGTGTGGCAGGGGCAACACACATCTAGTTGCCTGTATTTTAACAGCGAGCAGATGGAAGCATAACGGCATTTCTCCAGGAGCAAAATGAAAGCAGTTTTTGTCTCATATCAACTAAAAAAAAAAATCCTCTAATTTACTCCAACATCTAAATGAAATTGTGTTATCTTTCTAACCCTGACATCTATAAATATGACAAGGAATTCTTCTATTGTTAAACATGATAAGGACTGTAGCAGAACTGTGGCAAATCTGGAACTAATATAATATTCTCTAGGGCCTCTACCCTCCCTTTAAGCCAGATATTATGATAATTTAACATACTAACCCTTCATGTTAGATTAGAGAGAATATTCAATGAATTAAATGTGTCTATTGACAATTTGTGTGAATGTAAGAATTAAATTTGCAGAGCTGTAAAATTTTACTGAAAGTCAAGTTTAGGGTTTGGTTGTGGACAAAGTAAGAAAATTAATTTTTGGAACATATATAGTATTGTAAACTCATGTTACCTCAAGTAAAAAAGAGTCAAAGTTTTGTGGGCCCTTTCTTACTGCTTTAGACTTTCAATTTTCTTTTCTTCTTCTTTTTTTTTTTTTTTTTTTGGTCATCAGAAGCAATTTGTCTTTCCTTTTCTTATCACAGTTAAACTACCAACCTATTCCTTCATGTGATACTTGAAAGCCTCACAAAAAGATATATGGTATTTTAGATGACATTTCACATGAAGGTCATTTCAATGTTTAGTAATTAAGTATTCTTTATACCAAATGAAGCTATCCTATATATACCAAGGCATCTAAAGTGAATTGTGCAGTATCTCTCAAGTATATTTGCTGTACACCTTCATAGTAGAAAAAAGAAAATCCATTTCTCAATAATATTGTATTAAGAAGAAAATGAGTTTTTAAAACAGTGTGGGTTAACCTAATTTAAGTATATAGGTCATACTGGCATTTCTTTAACCATATTAGAAGGGAGATTTGAAGACATCTATGAATCAAAAATTGCTCCTTATATTGTATGTCACATTTATGTGAAGGGGACCACGATCTAGTGTTTGAAGCACAAGACTATCACACTAGATAAAATAAGGTCTAGAAACTCCATTAATAATATACTTTGTGTGCTTTCACCTTCTTATCTAAATTGTGTATAAGGATATTAACCTATATCAGAATACATTATTTTCTCAGTCTGTTAAAATTACTCAAAGATAGTTAAGGAATACAGGTTAAAACGGATATTTTTTTTTTAAGAAATGAACATTCTCACAGATGTTACTTTTTTAGATGCCAATTCCTACCTTTCATCTGTAAGAGTTAGTTGAAATTGTTCCAACTTGATATTTATATGAAGATAATTTACTAAATCTCGTTATAAATCTACTTAAGTAAATTCTCCAACAATAGATCACCCTATTCATTATTTTTGAAAGAATAACAATTCTCCAAATTACTTTTGAAAATGTTCATGGTGATAAAACTAAAGATGAAATGTTTTGAGTTTTCAAATGTCTTATTTATTAGTCCAACTGGCTTTGCCCCCACATAAAGAACACACTATAATAGTACTAACTTCAAGTGACATTGTTACATAGCTCTAAAATTTACTTTTTATTTGAAAATACTCAAAATTTAAGGGTATCTATTTGGCATAGGCACTAAAAAAATAAAACCACATTATATTCACAGGCAAAACACTACAAAAGTATATTTTAACAGATCTACTAATGCTTTTAAAAGTTATTCCACATAATAATCAATATCATTAAAATCACTCCTAGTAAAATTTGGGTTTTCCTTTTAATGATCCAAATCTATAGTGAAATGATGAAATTGAAAAACAAGTGTTCTTGTCAGAAGACAGGAAGAGAGTTTTTTCCCTTCTCTTAAGGAAAACAAAGGATTCCTGAAAGCCTTGCCCTGATTTATTTTTCCAATTTTAAATACCTTAAGAGTAGCGGAACTGCTACTGGCATGGTAGTATTTCTAGCAGTCAATAAATCTAAAATATTATGTGTGAATATTGGAATGAAGCCATTAAGAAGATTACAGCATGCAACACAGCAGAGGGTCCACAGGAAAAAAGAACTAGTAATTCAGGACAACTGTGACCACTGACCTTTGAATAGCCAAGACCACTGGTCAAGCCGACACAATAATAGAGTGCACATGCATAGAAAGTCAACTAACCTGTGAGTATAATTTAGATGCTTTGGTGAATGATTTTAAAAGGTCCCATTTAAATATCAGTATATTCATCAAATAATACCAATAGTAATATTTTTCAGATTTTCTTCATTAAAACCACACCCAAGCAAATCAGTAAAGCCATTTATGATTTTAAAACATTTACATTGATAGAAAATATGGTGGGATAATTTATCATATTTACTATATAGTTATAGCAGATAGTTTTCAGAAACTGATGAGAAAATGTTTATGATGACTGATGAATAAATTTATAAATACCAGGTAAACAATCACCTAAGATATTTTTAGAAACTAACTTTAAAACATTTCATACCTTTGGAAATAGTTTAAGCTCCACCTCAGAACTATTTGAATTTATTCATTCTTCATATTTGTCAATCTGTGATCGTTAATTTCTGGCACACATAAATTTATATCTATACCACCTTGCAGTATTCCTTCATATTTGCATTTTTCAATATTCTAGCTAGGTTTAGTAACTGACACTTATAAGTATAAACTGGTGCCATCTATAATTTTATATACTTTTAGGTTCTTACATTTTAAAATATGGTTTTACTTCTTCACATGTTGAAATATATGTTTTAATATTGAACTAATTCTAACAGGAAGGCAGTAGTTCCCAATTAAAAGGGAATCATCCATCCAAAAAGATTACTATTAGAGATTGTTCTTCTCAAGAAAAGAGCATCTATCATTGAAACTGACTATAAAAAATTCAATATGACACAGAGAAGTGGCTTTCTTTCCCTTTTTCTTCCTCTTCTAATTTTTCTTTTCTTTTTTAAAACAAACAATCCATCCTTCTTAACATATCAACAGTAGGAAATACATATAAGGAAAACATTTTGAAAAAGGGGGACTTGACTTTTATTATGCTCTATTCAATGAAGAATATTTCGATAACTTCTAAATGAATTACTCTAATCATTTCTAGCAGTTTCTGCAAAATTTTTATAATGAGGCAATCTCCTTATAATGAGCTAAAAAGATAATATAGCTCTTCACCAGTCTGGATGTGGAACTGTTCATACATAGCATGAATTTTATCACAGTAAGATAAAGTAGTTCAACTAAATTTTCTTCAAGGTCATCAAATATTTTAGACTATATATAAGCATAAATAATCTGATCTTTTACTTTAAAATTACATTTCCCTATCACTCTGCACAAAAACTATTGAGGCCTTTTAGTTTAAGTTTTCAAATTCCCTTATAATGATTTCAAAATATATTACAACAAATATATTCTGAGTATTTTTTACTCCCAAATCTTAACATCGTTGAAAGAAAAGGATTTTTAAAGGGAATTATGTTTTCTTGAAACTATTATAAAAATATTCCAAAACAGCTATTAAAATATACAAAGAAACAATAATAGAGTGCATTTTTGTCTTGTTCTGAGCAATATGAAGACCAAAATTGGCACTTTTGGAGAGTATTTAATATGAAATACAAAATACATTCTATTATAAGTTGCAGATGCGCACGCACGCTTGCGCGCGCACACACACAAACCCTCTGTAAGATCAAAGACCAGCAAAGAACTGGCACTTAATTTATCAGCCTTTACAGACAAAAGACAGTTTTCGTCATTTCAAAAGGATCAGATGTCTTTTATGACAAACTGGGCTTGCAGTTTAATTTACAAATAGAATTCTAAGTAAGCAGTCTTTGCTCTGCCAAAGCAAATGACAAACAGTGTAGGTTTTCATTCTTGCGGCCCTCAGCAGGACAGAAAAGATTAAAATAAAACTGAAATAATTTAGAGAAAACAAATAAATGTTTCAGAAAGTTGAGGGAGATCAAAGCTAGAATTTTCTGACCCCAACTGTACAAGCATTTCTTATTATATTGACCAGTGCCATCAGATCATTAATTAAAAGGAAAAGCGCTGGCAGGTGGCAGGGAAGCAAAAGCCGATAATTGGCCCCCTTCTTCTCCTTGCCTTCAAAAACTCTCTCATTCTTTTGCAAGACATGCCACTAGGCAGACAGAAATGCCTACTTTGTAATATAATGATTAAGATAAGATGAAGAGACTTTCGTTTAAAGAAACTCTGCCTAATGAATGCATCTAGCTTTTTAATTATGATCCTACTTTTACAATAAGGATACGATGTTCCATTCAACATCTCCTCAACTGCCAAAGGTGAAAACATTAAACATAGAATCTACATCAATTCCTCCCATACCCCATACACTTTTATTTCAGATAAAAAAGGTGGGGAAAATTACTCCTGTTAATTCAAGGGTTCAAGAGAAAATATACTTATACCGCAAGATATCCTTTAGACTTACCACATCACTCGGCAGGTTGCTCAAGTCATTAAATGGTGACTCTAAAGTGTTTGTATCAACATTTAACATGACCACATCATCCAAAGATTTGTTTTTCACTCTCTGTTTAAAAAAAATATATATAAACAGCTTAGCACATTTTCCTACAAAGCTATAATGACCTTAAGAACATAGAGAAAATTATCTTAATGTATTAGCTCTTGGGATAGAATATAACCCTAGACTGTATAAAAATATAAACAACTTTGTTTTTTGGAAAAAGTCTAACTGCAATGATTCAAAATTTTTTGTAAAAATATTTAAAATATAGTGTTTGCTTATCTAAACATATTTATATACTTTGGAGATGACTATAATTTAACTACCAAATAACTATTGTAACAACAGCTTAAAATACAGACACAGCTAAGATTAAACTTTAACAACTTTATCTTTTAAATTTTATCAAATTAATTTCAATCATATGATAAAGGAACTTGCAGCTTGTTTTATACTATTTGAAGCACAGTATAGGATTACCATGAAGCAGTAACTAATACTATGGAAGTAAGTTAACACTGAAGTTAAGAAATATCTGTATTTCCTTATCAATTTGGTTTAAGTCAATGACAAGGGCTGAAAGTTGAATAAAATGACAGAGAACATTAATATGGACGTAATTTTTAGTAATATTATGATATGAACTATAATATAAAATATAAAATTTGTCTATTAGATTATTTGACTTATTTGTCAGCTTGGTCAAATTGTCAAGTTTTCTCAATATGTAGAAAACTAATGGTAAGTTAGAATTTCATCAAACTTTTCTTCCTAAAAGAAATTATTTACAGTTTGTTTTTTTACTACTTAAACTACTAGAGTGTATAAATTAGCATGTAAGCATACCTCATAATTCTAGTATTATTTAAGTGATACAAATAATATTATTCCTTCATGTAAATAAGGAGCTTATAATGAAATCTATCCATTGACTCAGAATTCCATTACATAGATCAAAAAGCAATAGGTTATTAATCATAGTATAGTGGTTTTAAAAGTTACATTATAGATTAGCCACCTTGAAAATTATTAAATATATGAATTTTAAATTAATCATTTGGTCTTTAAATGTGGCTTATGTTGGTCAAGACAAAATTTCTATGATCCATTTAGAATTTTATATAAGAGAATGTTAAATTTGTTAAGGAAATGGTAGCCTAGATTAGGAAATTTTTTTTATATGTTAATAAAACCATAGTCTGTACAAAGAATATGGATTCTAGTAAAACATGTAACTCAGAAATCTATCTTGTAAAAGAATATTATAGTCTGCAGTAATATTCAGAAGATGGTCATTTCTAAGAAATTAACAAAATCCACTTATAACAGTGACATTGCAAAAAGCATAAATATAAGAAGCTATTTGATAAAGTAAAAATATATTTATATTATGGCACTTGTGTGGAAAAAGTATGCCATGGTTATTTCTATCTTCAATTTTAGTTGCATTTTTAATAGAAACTGCAAATATAATTCATAAATGAAATGCAATTTTCAAAGATGAAATGATTGTTAAACTTTGAAAAAAGGGATAGTAGAATATTAATGTATACATATTTAAAAGTTGCCCCCTAGTTTTAAAAATAATAGCTGAATATTAAATTTTATTCAAGGGATCACAAAATAATGTACTAATTCCAATAATCAATAAACTTAAGTCTTCCTAAAATGAAGGTGGTTTTACTTAAGGAAAAGTGTATGTAATTCAAATTTATTTTAAAATTTTTTGATGAATGTAAATTTTTACCTACTTTTCCTTCCAAACATGTTTCAAATATTTCCCTCCCAAACATGAATTAAATAGTTATTTGGCATACAATGTTATCACTTTCTGTATCTCGTATTTTTGTATTCCATAAATACATAATTTTTTTTGGATAGAGAAAGACTAACAAATGTGAAAAGAGAATCTGACATTTTCTTCAAAGAAAACAATAATAGCATGTAAACCAAAAGTCATTATGACAGTAAAGTGCTGATAAATTTTCACATCCTCTCTATATGTAACCTTTTCATGCAATAAGATTATTAAAATGTACATTATACACAGGTATACAAGAAAACAGTGGCAGCAGTGTGAAGCTGTCATTTATTCTAGAAACCTTTGTATATTAAAACAAACATAACCCTCACATTTATAGCCTCTGCTAATTTAGGACTAATCACTTATAATCCTTAGCCTCTTTTGAGTCCCACCCCTAAGGTCTAGTTTTCAGAAAGAACAAAATGTTCTTATCCTATATAGTAGAAGTAAATAGACATTTTAAAGAGAGATTTCTAGCCATCTTTCTCGTGACATGAAAAAAGTAACTTGTAAAAGATTAAAAAGGATGTTAATTACGTATCTTTGAACGTATATGTTTAGAAGACTTAGTAAAACTTATAAAATGTGCTGAAGCTCCCTTGATCAAGACAGTAAGGTCAGAAAGCATTTTGGTATTTTCCAGGAAAAAAAAATATTGTAGCTATCTATAGTCAAATAATATGTAAATAGTTACCTAGATTAGTTTCACACATAAAATATATAAATATTTTTTACTTATAGTATATTATTATAAAACATGAAAGCACAGAAGATTAAAATTTTGGTGAAAAATATAATAATGGACATAATAAGAATGGAATTATGGGATGTTTGGCATCTTGAAAAATATTAAGAAGGCAGTTACTAAATGTTATTCAACTGGTTTAAAGACATCCCGAAGGTTCCTAAAATACTTTTCTCATTCACTACCAAGCCAAGTAAATCAAATTAACTATTAGACATTTTGAATAACCCAGAATATAAAAGGTACAGAGATTTTACCTAATCTAATCATAATTTTAATCATTCTCATTTAATGATAGGAGCCAAGTTAAAGTTAGAAGGAACTGGCTCTCCAAGATAATCCTTAAGGAGGATGTACTGAATTTGGCCCTTAGATTAGTACTGATTTTTACTTGAAGTGTCTAATACATATTTGATAAACTTAATTGAATATTGAAAACATTACCCAAGTATCTTGGAAAAGCAGAGTCGCTTTTAAAAAGTATGTTTAAAAAGCTGATACAGAACATTATATAATAATATAAAGTAATATCAACATGTAGAGTTAACAACTTTAAATATTTTCATCTGTATAAATCAATGTGTTGGAAAGCCTACATTTTCTATCATACCATAAATAAGAAGAAACATGTACACTAATGTCAAAATCCAATTTGATAACTTTTGGGAGAACTACAACAACCAACCATGGTTAGACTTTATTTAAAAATTAACCTACTGATGAATAAATGCTAGTCATATATTCTATAATCTCACAACAGATCAAATACCTATTCATTCACATTTTACTTTACACAATTTGTCGTTGTTCTCAGGTACCATGACATATAAGAACACATTTTCTAAAAGTTAACACGATACAAATACAAAATGTTGTCCAATTCAGATTTTAACATTAAAAATGAACTAAATTTATTAAATAAATTAATTGAACTGTATTTCTAATTAATGCCTAAGCAAATAAACAAGGATTCTACAAAACAAAAAACAACTGAGAACACATGTTGATATAACTCAGGCCTCCTACAGGTATATGATTCGCTCACAAGATTCTCAAGAGTTTTAAAATAAACAACAGCATCTTCCCTGATCAACAAAATAAAGACTGATGTTGTATACAATGACAAGTGATAAGAAAACAAAATTTAACTTATTTAGACCAAACATTAGAAAGTGGATTAAAGTACATGTACAACCAGAAAAAAAATAATAATAATAATTGAAATTGAATACAAAATGTTAACAGCTCAAGGCTTCTTGTGATAGTGATGATTCAAGTGACAAATGGCAATTTGACATGAGGTAACAGTGCAAAAAACATAATATATTTTTGCTAACAGGTACTTGTTAAAACCCCATTAGGGCTGAACATTTTTAGTTTTTAAAGGTATAGTCTAATTAAACGTTAATGATTAGTGTATTAAAACCACATTTTGAAAAAACACTCCTAATAGAGTAGATCATAATGAAGTTTGCAAAACATTTCACTTTATGACTCATAATTAACAAATTCTAATTTTCAAAATACAAACTTGAAACTGAATACATGTAAAAGAGCCCCAATATTATATAGAAGAAAGTAGCTCTTTAAAGTCTAAACATTTTAGTGTTTAAAACTTACCATTTTGGGCCCTCCCTGGTGGCGCAGCGGGTTAAAGCACAGCACTGAGAAGCTAAAGGCGCTTCCGCATGAGTTCGATTCCCGCCTGCCCGGGAGGTAACCACATGGTGTGGCAGACCTCTCCTGCCCTGCCCGCTGCTCCCCTCAGCAGTGTACTTCGTCGATCTGCCTGTTCTGTTCCCCACTCTGTCTCTGGTGAAGCCTCTCACTGCCCCTGAGCCTCTGGCCTGTACCCCAGTTCTGTATGCACAAATAAATAAATAAATCTTAAAAAAAAACCTTACCATTTTGACTTCTACCAAATATAATGATTTCATAAATCCTGTGCCACTGAAAAGTTATTTATCATACTAAAATGAAGTTATTTAAATTACCTTTTTTAAACAGTAATGTAAGTATACTCTAAATATAATCTAATGAGTCCTTTATATTATTCTATTAATATTCTTTCAAAACACAACTGTTTTCACTATTGTGAAATTTATCTCTATCTAATTTAATTCATTATTATGAATTCATTTATCACAGGTTTAACAGGTACTCACCTCTATAAGGCTGGAGTGTATTCCAATCAGGTATGGCATTGGGGCACTAAATTAAAAATATATATATGTATATATTCATGTTTTATTAAAAGAAACAATATAGAAAATTCAAAGTAACTTAAAAATTTTATTTAAATGCATAGCTATAAATATACTTAATATTTTACATTACTCAATATGCAAAAACTCAGAGATTTTTAATATATTCATACTAATGTCAATTTATATAGAATTCAAAAAAAGTATTAGAATAAATCAGAATTATAAAACCTAAAAAGTTGTCTGCTTTAATTTAGGTTAAATATTCAGGTTCAGGCCATAGTCTGAGTTGATTATTTTGCATATGCTTTATATGAAACATATCTTAATTATCAAATTTATTCACAGCTACACGTTTTTTATTCAATTAGGTTCTTATTTCCATAACTTTCTTAACATGTAAATATTTTTTCATACTTAGTATGATGTGAAATTTTTTTATTCAGTCAGCCACCAAATATTCATCAAAGCCTACTTGTAAACCAGGCACTATTTTGGTACTGGAGGTACAAAGATAAACAAGTTCCTTACCTATTGTAATTGTTCAATTTCTGTGCTATATTTCCAGTTTACATTTAAATTTTATATATTCAAATTTATCCCACATTCATTTTTATTAACTTTAATAGATTTAAACCATTACATAAGTTTATTACTGATATCTGGATTAATTAATTTAAGACAACACCTGGAGAACACCAGGTGCCAAGATATGGACATAGGATTATTAATAAACTATGCAGATATATTCCCTTGTGGATCTTAATTAAACTCTAGCAGAGAATACAGATATTAAATGATTTTTATGATATATAAATATAGGTCTCCTAGTAACTTCACAAATACTTCTCATTAAATACAAGAAACAAATTTTTCAATTTGACACAATTAAATATTATTTAAATAGAATGAGATGTCTGTAAATATAATAGAAGATATGCAAATAAATAGCTATTTAAGAATGAACAGTTTTTACATTTCTTTCAAAGACATATTTTTGTTATTTTTAATGCAAACTTCTCTTTGTAATGAAAACAGATAACCTTCTTTCTCAAAGGATTTACGTAATTTTCAAACATAACTGTCATTTTTAGCAGAGCTGTTCAAATTCCTGTGTGCCCACTTTGCTACTGAGAAACAGCAATAGACTTAAAAAAAAAAAAAAGTAAACTCCAAAACTTCCAAATTTACTTAAGGTTAACTACCAATTTCATAAAAATTAATAACTATCAAAGTTCTTATTTTACTCCTCATTAGCCTGTTTATTACTTTTTATTGTACTAAATTCTAATCCCCAATTATCTTTACTTACTGTATCTTTATCTCTATTTTTTAGCTTTTATGCAACAGATCACTTGAATTGATATGATGTTATGGATTCATTATTTGACTGGAAGTTGACATCAATTTATAGGTCTTGATAGCCTTAACACCTAACGGAATTTTTGTATACAGAAGAAAACAGTAGGGATAAATGAGGGCTGTTCTACTTTTAAATTAGGGAAGGCTGATTATTACTTTGGCTAAGTTTTCGTTCATAGAATGCTTCCCAACTCTGGAGAAAATATAAAATACCTGTCACTAACTCTTCTAGGCTCCCACAACCAGCTTCAGGTATCTTTCACAAAACAAGGATGACAACTCCTAATGTGTCAAGTCTTTCCCAAAATAGATCAAAATTGTTAAAATAATTGTGCAAACTTCCACATTGTTAACATTCCACCCACGTGATTTATAATATAGAAAGTTCTTGGAATCTCAAATTTTATTTAAAGCACATTTTAATGAAATAAGTTTTAATCAAAGTATTTAAGACCTCAAAATATAATTACATCCATTCTATAGATGTTGGGGAGACACTAGGTAAATCTGATTGAAAGGGAAAAAATCAGTTGAAGTGCTACAAAATATATCTAATATAACAGTTCTAAAACTTCCTAAACGGCCCTCCAGGTAGCACAAGGGGCTAAAGCGCAGCACTATGAAGCGCTCTACAGCCTCTGCTGTATGAGTTCCTTCCCTGGTCAGGGATGGAACCCACATGGTGCCACACAGCTCTTCTGACCCACCTGCTGGGTGAGTATTTCAGTGGATCTTCCTGTTCTGCTCTCCACTCTGTCTCTGGTGAATCTTCTCATCTCTACCCCTGCACTTCTCACCTGTACCTCAGTTTTGTGTGTGTAGATAAATAAATCTTAAAAAAAATACTTCCTAAAAGCAAGTTATCTCTTGAGATATAAACAATAAATTTACAGAAACTGGTAAACTTCAAAAAAAATCAATTCAATAGAATTCCTAAGCAGAATTTATAACAACAAAGTAACCTGAAACTTTTCCTATGGGATCAGTGAGTAACTTTTTGAGCTATAACCTCACTAATTTCTAACAAAATCTGATACATACAGATATTAGAACTACCAATATTATTAAAGCATAACTTCTTAAAATAACTGTTTTGTAGATTTTTTTCTTCTCATGGAAACTAGATTGTGCACCTTCTAACATTAAATCAGTCAAATATCATGAAAGTAATTTTGCAACCCCAGCTGAAATCTAATTAAATTAGGTCTCTAACAAGTGAGGAAGAAATCCTTGACAACACAGCTGTTCTATCATCCATGAGCAAACTGTCCTAGATCTTTCTGTCAATAAAGTTATTTTACAAAGATAGGGTACAGAAGACTCTATTACGACTGCTTCTTCTTTTGGTAGCAATTAATCTTTACTGTAATATAATTACTATGTAGTGGCCTTTTTTTTTTCCTAGGTTTTCTTACAGAGACCACCCACAGAGTGAGTAGACTGTACAGTATTGTATTAAATTAGGGAAATCTAAACAATATTCCATTTATTTTTAAAACACTATTCTTTTGGAAGATAAATCTGCTCCTAAACACAGAAAGTAGAGTCAGATAGACAGTATAAATTAAAAAGTGACTCACCATTTATGAACAAATAATGAACAACTATGATTTACTGGTACTACAGTCTGACTATCACCTAAGTGTTTTTTTAAGGACCCAGAAAGGTTAAAAGTTCCTGTAAATATAGACTTGCCAAAGTTCTTTCTCTCTCTTTCTGCTTCTGTCTCTCCCTTTCTTTCTCTCTTGTTTGACTAGCTAATGTGAAATTTTCCCTCTTAACAAACTAAGTCTAAAATAGTAATGCTAACAGTTGTACAAAATAAAAATCCTGGAACTGAATTGTTTCATATTGCTAAACTTTATACTTGTTAAATAGAAATTCCCTACTTTTCCCTTGTGTTGTAAATTAGGGGAAAATGTAGATGGCATGACTTCCATCCAGTGGTGATAGCCTTCCCTTCTCTTGCTTACCAGGCTGTAGCAACCACTTAACTTCCTCACTGTCACTGCCCATGTTCATTTTTAAATGCCTCTAATATTGACCTTACAGTACTGCAGGATTACTCTGTACCCTCTCTCTGTGTATGTGCTTAATTTAAGTATGTGCATTCTATGCATGCCTGTGTGTATGTACATGGGAATTTCTTCTCACCTGTGATTCCTGAGGGAGGCACAAACTAAGTCTTATTCATTATGTTACATATTCATTGGTTGGAAAACAGGTGTTCAGTAAATGCCTGAATATAAATCACTGGATGGTAAAATGAGCCAACAAAGTAGCAAAGTTTTTATCAGTAGACCCAGGTGTGCTATTCACCCATGGTCACAAGATGGCATCATGGCTCTCCACAGTCTATGTCACACCAGAAATACCAGGTGTGAAAACAAAAATATCTCAGGGAGCTAAGATTATCTCAGATTTGGAAAGTTCAAGTCACCTTAAGTTCCAGTAAGTACACATCCTCCCCTATCCAAACTTTCATGGTGTTATTTTTGAAGTGGAATATAAAAATCATTCTATTAAAAACAATGATATTAAAAAGAAATGTTACTATGAGTACAGGATCATTTACAAGATGCAAAGATACCAAAAAACTTTTTTTCTCTAAGAAGTAGTTTAGTTCATAGATTTGTCTAACAATGGAAGAGAGCCATCTTGTATGATTTAAGTAAATATATATTAGATAAAAATAAACTATGCTAAAAGTTTCTGTGAGAAAAGTTGAGGCTATCATTGAGAACTTAAGGTTGAGAAAGTTTCAGATAACCTCTGTTTATTATCACTTCTGACCTCTATGGACCAGGAAAGTAGCTGTCATAGAACCTATTAGAACTTGTCCTTAAGACTACTTCAGAGTCTTAGAGGCAAGTTAAGAAACTTCCAGGGAGTGAAATATGACACAAGCTTCCTTTAATATAGTGGAAGTGCAGAAATAGAAGGACCTGCTGACAGGATCAGAAAGTATCAGGAAGACATTTCTGTAAAGCATAGTACAGACTACCTTTATCACAGAATACTTTCTAACTTAATATTTTAGAAAGTCTTAAATATGTAGTCATTATAGAGAATTGTACTTAAAGGAATGTAACTTCCTAAAAAGTCAGATCAATTTAATATAAAAATGAAAATGATACTGACATTGTCAATGATAAAATCAAATTATAAACTTCATAATTAGAAATGTTAATTTTTGAAAAGGTATTTTTAAATAGCTTTAATTACTGAACACTACATACAAAAATCTATTGCACATGTCAATATGAATAGCAGTTCTTGCCTTCAAGGATCCTGATATATTCGAGAAAAAAAACTAATGACTAAGAATAAGCTTATTTGTACATTTAGCCTTCCTCTTACACTTCCAGTATAGCTGGACTGACATAACTAAACTGCTAGCCTGTGGTCTCCTACCAAACTTTTTCTACTTCTTAATACTCATAAGGCAAACCAGCCATGGTAGACCATTGTGAATCCACTTCACAGAATTATCAACACTAATTATATTACCACACTGTGAAAACAATATATATGTATAGTCAACATACAGCCAAACAAATGTGCTGTCATTATAATCAATCACTTCTGTTTTGAAGAAGATAAGTCATGAAAACTTAATAGAAGTGTATGCACTTGTCATTTTAACCCTCAAATATGGTGTGATCTGCTTTTCATGAAATAACAAAGTCAAATAAATACTTTTCTTCTAAAAGACTTTTTACAAAATTGGGTCCACCCTGGGGGTACAGTAGGTTAAGCACAGCACTATGAAGCTAGCTGCACCCACTTTAGCACTGAGTTTGATCCCCAGCCAGGGAGGTTGACCCACATGGTGTGGCAGATGTCTCCTGACCTGCCCACTGCTCCCCTCAGAAGTGTATTTCCTCAGCCTGCCTGTTCTGCTCCCTGCTCTGTCATTGGCGAATCCTCTCACTGTCCTAGCACCTCTGGCCTGTACTCCAGTTCTATATGCATAAATAAATAAATCTTTTAAAAAGTAACAGTAGTTGTGACATAAACATTTTCTTCTATGTGTATTTACACATACACATGGTTTTATAGAGAAGAAAACTCATCAAATTTCTTAAGATTTAAGCTATCCCTGCAGACAATTCACGTAAATTAAGCACAACACTACTTAGAAAATGATTATGTAATTAAAATAACATTTTACCTTAGAGTCTACAAAAACATCCCTAACCTAATGTTTGGTAATCTAATCCTTGCTTAGGCTGACTATAAAAATACACATTCTTCTGGGGGAGAATAGGTACATTCTAATGGAGTTGCTCTATTCACTTTGGATGAGATTAGTAGGAATTCAGGAACCTGTTCAGAATTATTCTTAACATTTTTCAAAATCGTTTTTGATAGTGGCTTAATGCTAAGACTTTGATTTAAAGCACACATTCAGGGACTCACTGTATTACAGAAAACCATTGCTGGTATTTGCAGTTTGGTGTATTACTGATGGAAGAGTGGTAAAGGAAAGTGTGCTCTGACAGACAAGTTGGTTTCTGACAGAAATGCAGACAAATTCTGACACCCAGTATACCCAGTCCTGTAATTGATACCCTAACTTCCATATAAGTTCCTAACCACAACTTAGATAATATTTGCTTCTACTTATGCATTTAATTATCTAAATTACTGCAGAAGAAATTCACAAAACCTAAAGAACTTTGTTTGCCTAGTATAAATTTTTGCTGCTTTTGGAAGGCAATATTCTAACCTTACTGATTACTTGTTAGTAATTTCTAAATCAGATTCCAGAAATTTCATTCATACACAAAGACCAAGTTTACCTAAGCTACACACATGATTTTCTAATCATGATATCTGTATTTAAAGGATCCTGGCAAAAGTCAGCTTACCAGCAGTAATCCAGCAGGTGTGGAGGAAGCACTGGGATGTATATATGTTGCCAGTACATGGGGTATAACAGAGCAACTGATCCATGGAGACAGGCAGTTAACTAAAATTTGCAGAAGGATAACAACAGTAAGTAGCCACTAACCATCCAAATAAAAAGTCATGCTCAAATTATCACAAGATTAACAACAATCATAATACAATTTAATGATATAAATAACATTATCTTGTCCAGTTCTACATATAAAAAGTCTTATATTTCAGAGTCCTTTCTGAAAAACATAAATAGCAAAGTAGCTTCTTAGGAGTTTTATGTAGAGCATTATGGTCATAAACCTCAAACATAAACAGAGGTAAAACTGAAAAATTAGCTAAGCATCTCAAAAGAAACTGTAGGAAATTACAATTTGTGCGGCACAGTTTGTGCATCACTCAGATTAATATACCACGATTAAATATCGAAAGGGAGAGAGGTTGAAAGCTCCTGAGGGATATCATTAGGGCAAATTGCCAAAGAATGAAACATGAGCCAGTCAGGAGAGTCTGGAAGCTGCAATAATACCAGGGGACTTGAATGTTCGACAGTTGGAGCTTCAGTAATGTGTGAACTGCGGGTTATGGTATCAAGAGACTCTGTTCACTGACACATAGAATGTCACTATTGACCAGCGAACTGCCCAAGCTTGACAGCTGTAGTACAGGAAGCCAAGTATATCATAATTTCATATTTAAACTGTTCATTTCAGATTAACATTTTGTTTCCTAGCTTTATATCACAACAGCTGTAATTATATTGTTGCTATTTTAAAGGTAATTGCCATTTTAATTGTTTTGTTTTGGCAAGCAGTTAATTATTTTTTAATGCTTAACAAAGGGATAACACTTTTTTTCCTATCTCTTACTGACCCTTACCTGAATTCTTTCCATATGAGTTAGTGTACATTTTAAATTATATTTCTGTAAATGTAGTGATCTTAATTGTTTATAGTATTAACTAAATTAGCAGTCATCATTTTAAAGTTTTGCTATAGTCCACACTGCAAAATTACTAATTATATTCATTTTATTCATCTTGAAAATTAATACTTCTAAGTAAAACCATATGAAAATGAACTACATACTTTTCATAAGCCACTATTCCTATCTTATTATACAAGACATTAAAAATACACAGCGATCAAATTAATATTTTTTAAAAATAAATGTGCACAAGTAAATCTTAAATTTTAAACATTTATTTACATTTAAGGACAAAATGTTTCCACTAACTAAAAAAACAATTAAAATTAATTTGGATCTGAACCAAAAATTTTGATTAAGTTATTATCATTCTTGTTAAATACAATCTATATTTTTCATAAATTTTATATATGGCAAAGATGTACATTTTTTTCCATTTAGAATGTTTATCATTAAAGGGTTTAATACTTGATGCTTAAAAGCTTTAATAATTTATCTACAATATATGATCCATGAATAATTTTTAAATTCTGTAATTAGAATACAAGTTTACCACTAGGAGGCATTCAAATACCTCTACTTCATGATTACAGACCATAACTGATTTTTCTTACATATTTGAACTAAAGGGAAATGAAAATGGAGTTGATATGATTCATGTCAAATTCTCCCAGTGCTTTCAGGTACTGCCTGGTTGTAAGTTAGTCATCTTTAAACTGTTTTACCTTTTTCCATCCTTCTGGGGTAACTTGATGCACTAAAAGAGCTTATGCCATTTTGAAAGGCAGTTAATTTACTCAATCTTTCCCTCTTCACAGAAAAGACTTTTTATACACTTACTTAAAACCTTGAGAAAATGAGTATTCTTATTAATGAAAACAAAATTAATAGTGTAATAAGATGAGAAATCCATTCTCAAATGAGAAATGATAATAAAGGTAACTTATCTTACTGGACCCACCTAGAGTCTGAATCTCTCTATTAAAGGCTATTCCCATCTTCATAATAATCATCCTTAAAATAATCTAGAAATTATTAATAAGTCACACTATTATGTGATAAATTCTGTGATAAGCATAAAAAAATCCACAAAGATCAGTATTTGACAGAAGGTTACCTCTGCTAATTAAAATCTACCAGAAAAGGAAGAAGCACTTAGGATTTACTAACTTTTTACACATATGAGGCAGGTGACAGGAGATATGAAAGTGCCACCCCGCCCCAACCAGTTTCAGACCTAACCAACAATACTGAACGATTAAAAAGTAACACGGCAATAATGCCAGGTTTAGGTGATACTGTAAAAAATTTGCTTTTGCAAATATTAACTGTGAGAGATCCAAGCAGGTATTTCCAAATAAGGTGAAAGCATACCAAAGGACACCTCGCCCCCATAACCACTTAGTAGCATGTAAATGTGAATTCTTTAAAAAAGAGAGAAAATGCTATTATAGCATATACTTTGTAGAGAAGGTAGCAATGTTGTAAATTAAATGTTACAATTAAGAAGATAAGGGTACTAGGAAATTAAATGCCATTACATAAGTTGTATAAAATAATACAATGAAGTATTATCAGACAAAGTTAGGGTTCTGTCACTAAGAACCAATATGACCTCTGACATAGCGGGTAATAAAATCAGGATCAGTTTCCTATTCTTTAAAATAAGCATATGCTAGGTGATCTACAATCATTATCTCTGATGGATCCAACATTCCTTATTCGTCTATCAGATGAATTCTAACATTTTATATTCTTGATAACAGTTATTTCTTCTTATAATAAATATGTTTATCCTAGGTTGCTAATAGAACATTTTAACTAAACTATAATTTATATTCACCTTCAAAATACATCTAAATATAAACTCTAAAGCCTTTAAAGCACATTAGGTAACTATGCAACTGGAAATATAATCATTTAATTTTTAAATGTCTGTAATGTGCTATTTTAAATTGTAAAGTCACAGGATATAGTACTAAACAGAGCAGAGCTCCTACTTTCATGGTGCTTATGTATTAATGGTAAAGGAAGCAATAAACACATAAAATCTATGTCAGGTAGAAATAGGTATGTTGTATAAAGAAACCTAAAGCAGGACAGTAAGACAGAAGAGACTATTTTTTGATAAGAGGAGTAGGCACAAATTCTGATACAGTGATATTTGAACTGAGATCCAGTTGAAATAAGATTGCCAACTATTATAGAATTGGAGAAAAGACCATTCCAAGTTAACAATGCCTTCAAAAGGTATGAGATGAGAAAATTCTTGACACAGAATAGTAGAGAGATGAGTGTGATTAATATTGGGGTAAATGGAAAAAAGCAAAAGATGTAAAAGTGGCAATCAGGGTTAGGGCTATGGGACACAGCAAACATTCAATTTTATCTGGAAGATATATGTTCACACCTGTGAAGAAAACAATGTCATAGCAAATTATTTACCTAAAAATTTTAAGAAATATGAAACTACAGAATGAAAATACTATGTAGAAATGAAAGCAATTTACCTAACTGCTTTATCAAATATCTCTCTTGAATGATGATAGTAGACATTCTTGTCTTATATCAGATCTTTAAATAAAGACTTGCTGTTTTTACCACTGTGAGATTAATTGTGGGTCTGACAGATACGACCTTTATGATGTTGATGTATGTTCTTTCTATCCCCATGTTTTGAGCTTTTTTTTTTTTTTTTTAAATCATAAATAAAGCTGAATCTTACCAGATTCTTCCTCTGGACCTACTGCGTATGAACCTATGATTTAAACTTTTCTTGACATGATGAATGAATTAAATATATTGATTCATTGAATCAAGGTTATTGAATCATCCTTGTATCCCTATTAATCATGACATATGATCTACTGGTTTTGTTTTGTGGAATTACATTTGCTATGATTTTGTTGAGGATTTTTACATCTATGTTCATCGCGGTCTACACTTCTCTTTTTTTCTGATGTACTTATTTGCTTCTAAATATCAAAGTAATGTTAGCCTCAAAATGTGTTTTGGGGTTTCCCTGGTGGCTCAAGGGGTTAAAATTTCAGCACTGTGAAGCTATCCATAGCCACTGAAACACAAGTTCAATCCCCAGCCAGAGATCTGACCTACATGGCAGAGCAGACCTCTCCTGTCTCACCTGCTGCTCCCCTCAGGAGTGTATTTCAGTAGATCCACCTGTTCTGTTCCCCACTCAGTTTTTGATGAACCCTCTCCCTTGTAACTGCAGCCTGTACCCCAGCAGTTCTTACATGCATGAGTAAATAAATCTTTAAAAAGCATGTTTGGAAGCACTCTTTCTACCTCAGTTTATTGGAAGGGTGAAAAGGATAGATATTACTTCATTTTAAAGTTTATGAGAATACACTATCATTTAGTTTTAGGCTTTTGTCATGGGAAAACTTTTGATTAGTTTCAATTTCCTTGCTGGAAACTAGTCTGTTCAGGTCTTCTACTTATTCCTGATAATATCTTAGAAAGTTCTATTTCTAAAAATCTGTACACTTCTTCAGGTTATCCAATTTATTAGTACAAAGATGTCCTTAGTAGTCTCTTATACCCCTCTATATTTCTGAAATGTCTTTTGTAACTTCTCTTTAATTTCAGGTAGATTTAATTTCTTGTATCTATTATAGTTACCTTCCTCTTAGTGCACCTAATTAAAGGTTTATTTATTTGCTAAGTATGAAGACTCTTCTTACTTTTAAAATTATTTATTGAATCTTTAAACAGAAAGAGAAAAGACAATCATATATATTTACTCAAGATTCTATGTCCAGTTCATGATAGGGCTAGGACTTCACACTGCTTTTCTAATATTCAGCCAACTGCTTCTCCATAGAAGAGCTGTTCTTTATGAGAACTAAGAGGAAAGGGAGTTTCAGTGTTTGAGTTGGAATATATACCTGGCATTCTACCTTGGAAACTAAAGGAATAAAATATGGTCATAATTTTCAGAGAAACACATTTACTAAATAAAAGGCTTACAAAAAATGTCAACCATCTTTGTTTAATAGCACATTAATCTTGAAATGCACTTATCTCACAAAGCACACACAAGGTATTGAACATGTTACAGCCCCAAAGTGATGACTAATCTAATACAAAAAAAATTACTGGGCAATTTTATTTCTAGTACAC